CCCCCCCCCCCCCCCCCCCCCCCCCCCCCCCCCCACGGGGGAAATATGCACGTGCTAATCGACCGCGATACTCTCAGTTCGTTGACGCGCTCCTCCTCCAACGAACCCTGAAGAATGAAGCTACCCGCCGAGTCTCTCTCCTCATCGCCCAGAAATCCGTCCACGGCTTCATCGGCTGGGGCTCCCGACAGGTGGGCTCCGTGCCCGTCGGCCGCGCCCAGGACGCCGCCAAGCCCGCCACCGGTCTCATCTACCTGCCCGACCCCATCAACGACCCGACGCTGGTGCGCGGCGTGGGCACAAGATTCGGCGAGGGCGAGGGCGAGGTCCACGGCATGCTGTTCCTGCCCCCCGGCAAGGGCATCACGGGCGCGAGCGTCGACATCTCGGAGATCATCGGCCCCGAGGAGATCCGCGTCAAGAGGCCCTTCAAGGGCAAGCTGGCCCTGCAGCAGCTTACCGGCCGCGACGACATCGACGACTCGGGGAACCTGACCGACAAGGAGCTGCTGGGCTGCGCCCCCGGCCACCCGGGCACCAAGTTCAAGCTGGCCCCCTACACGGACCAGACGAGGGTGTACGAGGCCGTGTTCGACCGTCTCCGCAACGGCGGCTGCGTCGGCATCTTCCCCGAGGGCGGCAGCCACGACCGCACCGAGCTGCTGCCGCTCAAGGCCGGCGTCGCCATCATGGCCCTGGGCACCCTGGCCGAGTCGCCCGACTGCGGGCTCAAGATCGTCCCCGTCGGCATGAACTACTTCCACCCGCACAAGTTCCGGTCCAGGGCCGTCATCGAGTTCGGCGCGCCCTTTGAGATACCGCCGTACGTGGTCGAGCAGTACCGCAACAACCAGCGCAGGGAGGCCATCGGGTCCGTCATCGACACCGTCTACCAGGCCCTGAGCTCGGTGACCGTGTCGGCCCCCGACTACGACACGCTCATGATGATCCAGGCCGCGCGCCGCCTGTACAACCCGACGGGCAAGAAGCTGCCCCTCCCCGTCGTGGTCGAGCTCAACCGCCGCCTGTGCAAGGGCTACGAGCGCTACAAGGACGACGAGCGCATCTCGGCCGTGTCCAAGAACGTCAAGGAGTACAACCGCCAGCTGCGCTACCTCAACCTCAAGGACCACCAGGTCGAGTACGCCGACATGTCGGTGCCGCGCGCCCTCTTCCTGACGCTCTACCGCTCCGTCAAGCTGCTCGTCCTCTTCTTCGCCACCATCCCGGGCCTCCTCCTGTTCGCGCCCGTCTTCGTCGCCACCAAGATCATCAGCGCCAAGAAGGCGAAGACGGCCCTGGCCGGGTCCACGGTCAAGATCCAGGGCCGCGACGTCATGGCCACCTGGAAGATCCTGGTGGCCATGGTCGTCGCCCCGACGCTGTACCACTTCTACTCCATCATCATCGTCCTCAAGGTCTGGCACGACCGGCTGTGGGGCTACGTCCCGGCCTGGGTGCCGCTCTGGCTCGTCTACTGCGCCGTGTGGCCGGCCATGGTGGGCATCACGTTCGGCGCCCTGCGCTTCGGCGAGGTCGGCATGGACATACTCAAGTCGCTGCGACCGCTGGTGCTCTGCCTGTGGCCCATGTCGGGCTTCAGCATCCAGAAGCTGCGGGTCCGCCGCGCCGAGCTCAGCGGCCAGGTGACGGACCTGATCAACACGCTCGGGCCCGAGATGTTTGCCGACTTTGACAGGACCCGCCTGGTCAGCTCGTCGGCCGAAGCGGGCCTCACGGCAGGCACCGCCTCCACCGCGGCCGGCGCCGGCGGCGTCCCCGCCACCGGCCACGGCCGCAAGGGCAGCGACGTCTCGAGCGTCAGCACCGGGGTCGGGGCCGAGGCCGAGTCGCCCACCGCCCTGTCGCGCCGCACGACCACCCAGTCGAGCCGGCTGCTGCCGCGCCACGACTCGTTCAGCAACATCGGCCGCGTGGGCATCTTCTCGACGCGTCCGCCCTCGAGGTCCAGATCGCGCTCCCGCTCGGGCAGCAGGGGTCCCGGCGGGCCGTCACGCTTCGTCTCCGGCGGCTTCCCCCTCAGCGGCTTCACCACGCTGGACTCGCAGGGGGGTCTCGACGAGGCCAGCCGCAAGATCCGTCAGGCCATGAAAGCCAGGAGGAGGAGGTCAGACAAGGTCCGCATGGAGACGGGTGCCGACGATGACGAGGGTGAGGATGACGTGGTGGAGAGCGAGAGTGGTGAGGATAGTGAGGATGAGGGGTACGATGAGGCTAGGAAGAAGAATCTCTAGAAGGGGGGGGGGACAAGCTGTACGAGAACCAAGAAGAAGAAAAAGAGAAGAAGAAAAGAAGAAGAAGTTTTACATCAGGTTATGTCATTGTAGTGAGTAGCATGCGAATGATTTTTTCAATGTTTTATTTGCGTGTACAAGTTGTGCTATATTGAGATCAAGGTTGTGCTGTAGGGAGATTGGCATTGGGCCTCTTTTTTTTTTTTCATTTCTTTCTTTTTTTCTTTTTTTTTTCTTTTTTTGGTTTCTAGAATATATTATTGAAAGTTGTCTATGGGACATTAACACCGTACCGAGTACATCTAATGGTCTTGAACGAGTTTGCCAATGGTGGTCATCGGGTGTAAGTCGGAATTAAACAAGAAGATGAGATAAACCGAGATGGATTGATACGGTACGGAGTGGTAGTAATATTGTATTGTTGGGAACGATGATGGGCCAATTGACGATGATGGGAAAATAAATCAGTACAAGATGATTGGGACCCGTCAGGTTACCGATGCTCCATAACGATACAGGATATTTCGGATAACTACGTATACAACTCTACCAGATAATATTGATAGCAGAGTAGAAAGTATTCTTCTGCTCTCTCTCTCTCTCTCTCTCTCTCTTTCCCGTCGGAACTGCACATCCTCTAATATATATATATATATATATGTGTGTGTGTGCATATATACATATATGTTCAATTTGTTTTGGCCCAGACTGCACGGGCAGAGCGGCATCTGATAAGAGTGGAAGTTGGTAAAAGGCCGAAGAGCGATTGGGCTCGGAGATACGGGTTAGGAGTCCCGTAAGCAGTCGTAAGCAGATGGGTTCAAGAAGAGAGAGAGAAAAAAGTGATGTGATGATCCGATCCGATTTGTCTGTTTCTTTTTTGGTCCTTGTCTGTTTGTTTAGAAAGTCTTTTGTAGAAAACGATGGTAATCATAACGGTGATCGTGAAGAAGAGGCGGGAGAAGGGGGGGGGGGGGGGGGGGGGACCTGTCCTAATTACAACATTTCCAATCGAAGCACGCCTTTTATCAGATCAGAAGAAGAAGAAAAGGCCGAGATTCAACGGTCTTTGTCCGGAGGGGAACCAACTGGCAACGATAGCATTTAGGGGACTCTTCTTGTTTCTGTACCCCATTTTTATCGGTCTTACTGGATCGAATAGGGAGGAAGTCTACCGAGACGTCCGCGCAAGGACCTCATCCCCCCCCCCGCGAATAGCGAATAAAAAATGGAAACCAGGATGATGACGAAGACGACGACGACAACGTCGAGGACACAACACAACAAGAAGACCAGGACCAGGACCAGGACCAGGACCCGGACCAGAACCAGAACCAGAAGCAAAACAGCTGCAACAACAACAGAAATCTCCAGCGGATAAGAAAAAATTAAACATTAAAAAAAAAGATACGAATCATCTATTACAGTCACCCGAGTTCAAGGCGAAAAAAAAAGAAGAAAAACAGCGGCGGCGGCGGCGGCGGCACGAGCACGAGCAGCAAGATGGCAGCGACCTTTAGATCATTGGGATCATGGGTCCTAGGTGGAGGTGGCGGGAGTGGCGGGAAGGCACAAATGTCCCAACTATTCGACAAGACGAACCCTGCCGAGGACGGGGAGGAGTGCCTGCACGACTGCGAGACCTGCACGATCAAGTACCCGCGCAACTTCAAGGTCGAGGAGGGCGACAAGCTGTACGGGCACGTCGGACCCTGGAGCACGCACCTCCTCGTCGGGACGGGCAAGACGGACTGGGTGAGGGACGTGTCGGATGAGAAGGGGAGTGTCATGCAGGCTGTCGGCAAGGCCTCGGCACCTTCGAACGGGGTATGTTTTCTCACCATCTCTCTCCATCTCTCTCTCTCTCTCTCTCTCTCTTTTCCCCTCCAACTGAGCTTTCTTCCATTCCTTTCTTTGTGAAGAGAGTCGGTCCCTCTATCGCATCTGTCGGCGAGATATGAACACGGAAAGAGGGAGGAGAGACGCACGCGCACGCGCAGAGAGAGAGAGAGAGAGAGAAATCATTGGCTAACCGAACCTCTCTCCCTAACCGAACCTCTCTCCCGAACCAGAAAATGATGTTATCGGCAAGCGACATGCCCACACCAAACGGAACGACAGACTACACCGAGCCGACGACGGTCCTCCTCCTACCGGCCTTTACGCTGATCGACAACGTCAGGCCGGATAACGTCAAGGACCTGATACATCAGGTGGTGGAGGTGGCGCCGACGACGACATCGCCCATGAAGTTCCCTCCCATACCGTCGGCCCCGGCGACGCTGCCGGGAGGTCTGTCGGTGCGGGACTGCCCCCACAAGGCCGTGATACTCATGTGCAGCCAGCGTACGAGGGACGTCCGGTGCGGTCAGAGCGCCCCCCTTCTCCGTCGAGAGCTGGAACGTCACCTGCGGCCTCTGGGGCTGTACCGCGACCTGCACGACCAGAGGCCGGGCGGCGTGGCTATATACTTCATCAGCCACGTCGGCGGGCACAAGTACTCGGCTAATGTCATGGTGTACCGAAGGAGGAATGCATTCGGGCAGGATGAGGGGGAGGGGGAGGACGGAGGGGAGGCAGAAGGAGAGGAGGATGGGGTGGGGGGGGAGGGGAAGACGACGACGACGACGACGACGACGACGCAAGGGGGGGCGGCCCAGGGTATCTGGTTGGCGAGGGTGAAGCCGGAAGACTGCGAGAATCTAGTCAGGTACACCGTTCTCAAGGGTAAGGTTGTCAAGCCCGAGACGCAGCTGCGTGGTGGGTTCAACCGGAGCAGAGGTCTGATCAGTTGGTGATGGAGGTAAATGTACGGAACGTGGCAATGAAGCATGCACGACGAGAGTTTCATATATACGATAGAAATTGATTTTTTTTTATGAAAAAGAAAGAAGAAGAAGAGGAAGAAGAAGAAGAAGAAAAGATGAGAGAAGATGAGAAGAAGAGGAAGGAACAGCGAGGAGAAAAAGAACATGGAGGAAACCCAGAGGGAAGAGGAGGAGGATTCAGTGGTGTATGTGCGTGTTTTGTTGTGTGCGATTTGAGCGGGAGCAGAGTGTTGAGAAGGTCTTGTTGAGAACGGCAATAGAGAGGTAGGATGGATGCAACACCAGGATATACGAGATGGGAAGGAAGGTTGCAAGACGGCCCTGATGGATTACGACTGGAAAAAAAGAAGAAGAAGAAAAGGTAAATACCATATATGTATTCTCCGCATGCGACGCCATTGATTATATATAGAGTCTAGACGAGAATGAGAAGTTTTACCATGTTCCTGCGAGCATCAATGTTGATACTCTCTTACCATGGGAGGGGGCCATCAACAACATGGGAGGGGACTTACCCTAGATTGGCAAATCCCTCACAGGGTGATGACGATGTTCTGTATCAAGGATCTTGTGACCAAGTTTGATAGTAAGACGGGGAAGTTTCATCCTGTAGGAAAGCTTACGTGGACGTTTCTCCCACAACCCCTCATCATCTTTCAGACCCCATGGAGATTTGAGTTGCGACAAAACAGATAGAAGGGGGGGGGGGAGTTATTAAGAGAGAGGGAATACGATTTGTGGCAAGGGAGATTTAAATGATAATAAATTTCGATCAATTTTTGTTTGGGTGAGAGACAATCTGCATGGCATCATGCATAAAAGATATTTCAACATCTAGTCAACGATAATACTTACTCCCTCCGTATTACAGGTAGAGAGAGACTCTCTGTGCTGGACTGTTTCGTCTGAACACCGATCCCCACATGCTGCACACGTAGCATATAGGAACCAAGGCAAAACAAAAGTATCCATGTGCTATCATTCTTCGCAATACGCGCATCGTCTCTTCTTCTTTCTTGTTTTGTCACACACGTGAATGCTGGCTGCACTCGGTGATCAGCCACGCCATGATTCTGGAGGCAGAACACGCCTCACGCCGATGATCGGTCATCATGATGGGTGAAGTTGACTGCTGCCCATCAAATCAAACAGCTCAGAGAACTCTATCCGAAGTTGCCATCCGACAGGGACAGGGGGGGGGGTTGGTTTTACCGGGACTGGCACTTGCAGGTACAGGTACATCAGAAGCTCGAAGTGAGAGATACATGCAGTGTCATGTGCGTGTATGTGTGAAACGAAAGCGAAAGAGAGAGAAGG